AGGTTTTCAATACCCATTTTTAGACTGCATTCTAGCCTGGGCAATTAAGCAACACTCCCGTTCTCTCTCCCTCCTCCTCTTCATCGTTTTTCCTTTTCTTCATTTCTTTTCTTTCTTTCTTTAAAAAAAAAAGCTTACCTGAGGAAAACTAAGTACAAACACATCTTGTAGATGTTATTACATTAAGCTAATGCTTTAACATTTTTCCTTCTAAGTTTCCCTATAAAAAAAACAAATTGCCAGGCATGGTGGCAGGTGCCTGTAATCTCAGCTACTTGGGAGGCCGAGGCAGGAGAATCATTTGAACCCTGGAGGTGGAGGTTGCTGTGAGCTGAGATCATGCCACTGCACTCCAGCCTGTGTGACAGAGCAAGATTCAGTCTCAAAAAAAAAAAAAAAAAATCTTACATACAACACCAAAGGCACAATTCATGATATAATTGACTTTATTAAAATGTAATTAATATGATGGACTTTATTAAAATAGAAAATTTCAGTTATGCCAAAGACCCAGTCAAAAGAATAAAAAACACAGGATAAATCTAGGAGAAAGCATTTGCCAAAGTCGTATTTGATTAAAAACTCTTACCCAAAATATAAAAAGAAGTCTTAAAACTCAACAATAGGAAAGCAAACAACCCAATTACAAAATGGGCAAAATATCTGAATAGACTTCTCATCAAGGATGATATTCAGATGGTAAATAAGCCTATAAAAAGATGTGCAATATTATATATCATTGGGGTATTGCATGTTAAAGCAATGAGATGCCACTACACATCTAATAGAATGGCCAACACTCAATGCACTGGCAACACCAATGCTAGAGAGGACATGGAACAACAGAAGTCTTATTCCTTGCTGCTGGGAATAAAAAATAGTATAGCCACTTTAGAAAACAGCTTGGCAGTTTCTTATATAACTAAACATACAGTGATTGCATTCCTTGGTATTTACCCCAATGAATTGAAAACTTATGTCTATGCAAAATTTTGTACATGATTGTTTATGGCAACTTTATTCATAGTTGCCAAAACTTGGAAGCAACAAAGATGTCCTTCTTTAGGTGAATGGATAAACTCTGGTACAGCCATACAATGAAATATTATTTGATACCAAAAATAAGTGAGCTATCAAGCTATGAAAAGACATAAAGGATAATTCAATGAATACCAATAAGTAAAAGAAGCCAATCTGAAAAGACTATACACTGTATAATTCCAATTGAATGCCAGTCTGGAAAAGGAAAGCCTATGAAGCCAGTAAAAAGATCAGGGCTTACCAGGGGTTAATGGGGAGGGAAGGATGAATAGGCAGAGCACAGGGAACTCTCAGAGCAGTAACTATATCTGGTATGGTACTATAATGTGGATATATGTTATTATAAATTTTTCCAAATCTATAGAAAGTACTCACCAAGAGTAAACTATAATGTAAACTATGGACTTAGAGTGATAATGATGTGTCAGTGTAGGTTCATCAAAGATAGCAAATGTACCATTTTGGTGCAGGATGTTGGTAGTGGAGGAAATTGTATGTATGTTGGGGACAGAGAGTAAATGAGAGCTCTCTGTATTTTATGCTCATTATTGCTGTAAATGTAAAAGTACTCTAAAAATAAAGTCTATTGAAAAAAATTTGAGGACAACCCAAAATTATTTTTGAGTATTCTCTTTGCATATTATGGAGACCACCTTTAGTTTCCAATATACTGTTAAAGTAGTAATAAAGGCTAAAAAATAATGTTAACCCATAAGGGGTAAAAAGAAGCAGAGGATGAGACATTAAGGGATGGAAAATTTAAGCAAATTTTGGAGAGTGGTGTTAATTGACCATATCAGAAAGAAAAAGAAAAGAAAGCTGTCTCCAAAGTTAAGAACTTCCACAGTAAGTGAATGAATTTGTATCTAAAAGGGTCATCATTTGGAAATGCTAGCTACCAAAAGAGTGTATGAGAGCAGAAATATTGGTTGAAAGTCTATATATGTGGTGAAGGAGGGGAAACCTAGGTTTGGAACTCCAGGTCTCCACCTTCACTCTTCACAGGAAGGAAATTATCTCTCAACCACTCCTTCTCTCTCTATTTACTCTCTATATACCCAACTCTGAAACTCTGAACCTGGAGACCTTCGGTTAAACAGAAGACTGTGGTGACATCAGGTCTGAAACCCAGAAGATTTGGAAGAGACTAATATGAGCTGATGGACACTTGGCCTCTTTGTAAGCACTCTAACAGGCAGCACGTATGCCCTCCATCCCTTCCCTCACCCTCCAACTCCTACCCTAAGCAGATGATTCACTGACTCTTCTCTAGTGATCCAAAGGGCTCTCCTTCCAACCCCATTTTTTACTCAAAAGATGCATTTCCAGTATCTGGCATTCCTCAGTTTCAAATCTAAATATATAGCCAAGAGTCTCCAGTCATTTGAGGAAGGCCTTCAGTCTGAAAGGGTAAATTGAAACAAATGAGGCCCCAAAAATGAACACAAAAAACTAAAAGGGACAAAGAGAAGTAATCAAAGAAAAGCATAACAGAAAAATGAAACTATAATAGCTCCAGCGAGGAAGAGGAGATTATGCCCACAAAACAAATACCATATCATAAAAAGAATCATAAAATAAAAATCTGGTTGTCTTGTGTATGATAGTATACAATTAAAATTTTTGGTAGGCATGTTGGAATATTAAATAAAAGAAATATCATCTAGGTAGAAAAAAGACACAGTGTTATGAAGTAGCATGTAAAAAAAAACACAGAATTTGAATTCAAACCAGGAGGTCCCACATTCAAATGATAAGTGCTCAAGGGACAACAAAGAAAATGGAGGGAAGGCCATTTAAAAGCACGAACTCTCAGAGTACAAAAGACTACGAAATGATTCGCACAAGACATTAAAAAATATTAAGTCGCATCCTTGCAGAAGTTCAGAAAACAAAGTTTGAAGAGGCTTTCCTAAGACTTTCCAAATATGGGGAAAAATATACATGCAGAGAAATAAAATTAAGTGTCACTGGTATTGTCAGTAGCAGCACTGATTTTTAGAAGAAAGAGAAGCAATAACTTAAAGTTCTGAAGGAAAATGCTTTTTGAACCTAAAATTCTATGCCCAACTAAGCTAACATTCAAATGTAAGGAGAGAAGCCGGGCGCCGTGGCTTGTGCCTGTAATTCCAACACTTTGGGAGGCCAAGGTGTGTGGATCCTTGAGGTCAGGAGTCTGAGAATAGCATGGTCAACATGGTGAAACCCCATTTCTACTAAAAATGCAAAAATTAGCTGGGCATCTGCAATCCCAGCTACTTGGGAGGCTGAGGCAAGAGAGTCGCTTCAACCCAGGAGGGTTGCAGTTAGCTGACATTGCAGCATTGTATTCCAGCCTGGGCGACAAAAGCAAAACTCCATCTCAAAAAACAAACAAGCAAACAAACAACCACCGCCAAAAACAATAAAATGTCAGGAGAGAATATTTTCAAAAATACAATGTCTCAAAATTAAATATTTCATGAGTTTTTCCTTAGAAGCAACCAAAAGATATAATTACCGCAAAATTGCAGAATAGGCTGAGACAGATGAAGACATGGGATCCAGGAAAGAGGTGATCCCAGGAGACCAGTAAACAAAGTGAGAATTACCAGAAAGTACCAGACCCAGTAAGAAATAAGTCTAATTTAGACCAAGAAGGGCAGATAAATGCAGAGGATGGTCTAGATGAAAAGCTAGTAGGACTAATGTTATTATCTTATAAGCAACATTTTGGGGGAAACACTACTAAATATTTGGAAAAGTTAGGAAAAATAATTTGCCATAAATGCATAGTAAGTTAAGTCATTTTTAACAAGTCTGTTATTAATTCCTAGGTGAAAATTTGTACATGATAGGGTAGGAAATACAGTGAACAATAATTGCATATATGTAACGAAGTAAAGCTAGACTGAGAATTTAAAATATGGTTTATCTAGTTTGTGAAAATAGGGAAAAGGACGTGATCTGGGGTGGTGCTAAAGAGGTAAATCCTCAATATCTAAAAGAAGCCAATAAATAAGGCATGTAATTAAAAACAAAAACAAACAAACAACCTTTGGAACATTACTGAATATTTTTTGAAAAAGCAAACCGGAAGAAAGAACTTAGAACATTGAAAGTGGTTTTATTGTTTTGTTTTGTTTTGTTTCTGGGAAGAAGGATTAAACGTTTGGTGGACTTGATCAAGGAATCACCTTTTGACTCTGTCTTTTAGCACTATGTGTTTGTTGTACTTGCTTGCATGAGTGGCTCTTTTAAAAAATAATAATAATAAAGTATAGATTACATTTTTTAAATTGAAGACCTCAGTGAATTTTTTAAAACAACAGTATGTTGTGCAAAGAAAATAATTTTTATTTCTGATTATTCAGTACTCAACAGTGATTCTGGGTCAGTCATTATGAATGTCAGCTTTGGTTATATAAATAGAAACTATGTAAGAGACTGTAATGGATATGTATCTAATCTAGGGCATAGGTTTTAAAAAATCTATTTTTTTCTCTTGATCGGTGATTTACCTATTTTTTATTTTCTCTATTGCAGAAAATTAAATTAGTTAAATAAGTTTTTGAATTATTTAGCTATAAAAATTTTAAATTAAAAGATACTCATTTTGATATTTCTTAAGGATGGAGTCAATTTTGTTATTATGAATCATCATAGTGCTACTGATTCTTTATCAATTCTGCATAAAGTGTTTCTAAGGTTGTGTCTATAACTGAAAAATATAGTCATCCCTCTATATCTGTGGGTATTGCATTAATGGACTCAATCAACTAAGGATTGAAAATGTTTGGAAAAACATTCCACAAAGCTTTGAAAAGCAAAACTTGAATTTGCCACACCAAGTACTACATTGAATCCACACTAATGAAGTGATGTGTGGGCATTATATTAGGTATTACAAGTAACCCAGAGATTATTTAAAGTAGACAATGTGCATGAGTTACATCCAAATACTACAGCATTAAGGACTTGAGCACCAGTGGATGTTGGTCTAGGGGGTGGTTCCTACAACCAATTCCTCCTAAATACCAAGCAATAACTATATGTGCCATTAGAATGTGGTTCATTGCTATTTTAATCACATACCGTGTTTTCTTAACTCATTTATTTAATACATAAAAAGTTTGTTTGTTTGTTTCTTAGACAATCTCACTCTATTGCCCAGGCTGAAGTGCAATGTCACAATCTCAGATCACTGCAACCTTGGCCTCCCAGATTCAAGGGATTCTTATGCCTCAGCTTCCCCAGTAGCTGGGATTACAGGTGTGCCTTCCCAGCTAATTTTTGTATTTTTGGTAGGGATGGGTTTTACCGTGTTGGCCAGGACTGGTCTCAAACACCTAACCTGAAGTGTTCTGCCTGCCTTGGCCTCTCAAAGTGCTGGGATTACAGGCGTGAGCCACTGTGCCCAGCCAATACATGAAAAGTTTTGTACTTCGTTGTATTCCAAGTGGGAATTAGGTTATACAGACTGTGACTTTATGAATATTTCTTTGGTGATTTGGAAATTCTCCATTTATCATTTAAAGTTTGTATTTATAATACAAACTTTGATTAGAGAGAAAGGAATAATGAAGTTACACTTGTAAGTTCCAAGTGAAATAAATCATGAAACTTAGACGAGGTCTCCAGGTACTGACAAGTTAACATTTCAGAATGAAGCTACTAAGTTATAGCTCTGGTATTTGATAGTCTAGTGGTCACTGTTAGGTAGACGAGAGACACAACATATTATTTCTCTGTGTTCAGTACAAGCATTGACATCTACAGATTAATGAGTGAGAGAATGAGTCACTTAAGCATGTGGTGTCAAAAACAAGCTAGACTTAATATTTTCAGAATATAAATTAGTCTTAATTGTTAAGTAGTTCCTAACTGCTTTGGACCCCATCTTTTGATGTACTTCAGTAAAAATATACTCTTCTACCTTTATAAAGACATTGAAACTGGTAAAATTATACTGAACATCCTTCACTGAAATGCTGATTGGCCATTTGTCTGTTTTCAACAGCTTCCTGTCTTTCTTCAGAAGATGTCTCCAAGTAGTCACCAGTCACAAATTATCTATCTACATACTATATCAAATCACTATGCAGGTATATTTTGACAGCAAAAAATATAGAGAGCGTCACCTTCTTAAATTTTCATCAATAGAAATAGCCTAAAATGGAAGACTTAGGACAGAACACTTAAATTGATTTTTTTGTGGGAGAAATAGGTGTTGTTATTTACTAAAACTAGGTATCATATATTCTGCAAATCAGGTACTACATGAGAAAATCAAATCATTTGAGAAAATTAAGGACTGTTTATGAGTGATTGATTTATATGATACTCATATTTTTAGGCAGGATTTTAAGATGGTCATATTTATATTTTGAATATTTCTATCATCCCATTATTATGATTTTTACTTAGAACAATTGTCCCTTGTAAATAATAAAGAAAGTCCTAGCAAGACTATGTCCTACAAAAACTGCAGGTACAATCTGCAAGTTTTCTTTCCTATCTTTTAGCTAATATGAAACTTACCCAATACTTTCACTCAAGTAATTTACCTCACCATCGTAACTTTACAGATACCAAAGCCTATACCAAACTGTGGACTTTCAATTTTTTAATGTGATATTGGTTCTTTTCACAGAAAACAAATGTTCTATCTTGGTGGCAAGTGAAAGGTGTTGGGGGTGGGGAGACAATCCTCTCTATTTACTCTGGGATTGAAAAATAGTAACTAAGCAGCACCAAAAGAAATTTCTAAACAGCTGTTTAATATTAAAAAAGACAAAGATCAGTTAAAGCAATATTTTATTCATAATATAAAGTAGTTTAGGATTGGATAATGTGTCCTGATACATTAGGTATGAGGAACCCTACTAGAATTTGGCAAAAGAGTCTCTAAGTAAATAGGACTGGAATCCCGCCCAAGTAAATTAACTTCCTCCCTTAGGGTTTGTCTTCCCAGCCTACTCCCTGATGATTATGTGGCCAGCTCTCTCTATATTGCTTATATTCTTATCTTTTAAACATATGAAGTGTGCCTGTTCATACAGTCTCCAATTATGTTTACGTAGTAAAGTATACATGCTACCAGCCATATAATTGTATTCACCTTTGTTACTTACAAAAAACAATCTAAAAACTCAAACCTAAAGATGTGTTTACATGGAGCCCTTTCACTTGCAAATGGCAGAAAAGGAAGCTGACCTGGTTTATGAAAATAGGAAGCTGATTAATGCACTTGACTGGGAAGTGCAGGAGGAAGGATGGTTTGAGATATATCTTGAGGTACTCAAGATATCGAATACTGCTAGCACTCGGCAAACCTACCTCCTTTGCACTCCTCTACTCTTTCTTGTTTTCTATCTTTTGCTCTCTCCACTCTCACATCTTCCAGGTCTCCATTTGGCTTTACACTTATGCAGGTTTTCACTTGTGAACAGTAGATGGCTTCAGCTTTCCAGCTCTCACATCCTCTAAGATTCCGCCTAATGGGACAATTCCCCTATCTCTTTTCAGCAGTCTTACTTTTACCTCTGATTGGATAATGTAAGCCATTTTGAAATGTTTGATTGTGGGTAGGAAAATGGTATATTGATTAGCTTAGAACTAGGTCACTGGTTCCACCCCTGAATCCCATCTGTATTAATTTCCTATGGCTGCTCTAAAAAATCATCACCACAAACTTTGTGGGTTAATAAAACATAATTTATTCTCTTACAGTTCTGGAAGTCAGAAGTCGGAAACCAGTTTTACTAGGTCAAAATCAAGGTGTCAAGGCTGTGCTCTCCCTGGGGGCTCTGGGTAAGAATTTGTTGACTTGCCTTTCCAACTTCTAGAGCTATATTCTTTGGCTCTTGGCCCCTTTGTCTTTAAAGCCAACACTGTAACATCTTGCTTTAGTGGTCACATTGCCTTCTTCTACAGTAGTCCTTTTACAGTAATGTAATTCACATATCAAAACTGTCCAGGTAATGTAGGATAATCTCCCTATGCCAAGATCCTTAGCTTAATCACATTTGAAAAATTACTTTTGCCATACAAAATAGCAGTCACCGGTTTTAGAGATTGGGACCTGGGTTTCTTTTGGGGATCATTATTCTAGCCTATCATATACCATTCAAGCATCAAAGCTAAAAGAAGGAGAAATGGAGACTCAACAAATGTTAGGAAGACAAATAACAAATATACATTACTCATACATCTTACAGGCTGTTTTGCTTTTGGTTGCTTGTCTTTTGTAATTATATTTCCAAATCAAGAGTACACTTTGTGCTTCTAGTTGTAACTTAATGTCAGTGGCCAAATTATCAAGCATTGTATAGAAAATACAAGGAGATAATAAAAAGATGGCAATCAAATTATGGCTTAAACTTCGTGTGGCATAAAATTATCTATTCTATGGACAGATTGGACATCAAGTGTCACTTCAAATTACAGTATAGGTATATTTTTGTGATGTGAAGACAGAATTGTGCTTTGTTCACCTCTTAAGAAAGTGAATCACCAATGACCTTCTTCAAAGAACTGGAAAAAAAACACCTTAAACTTCATATGGAAGCAAAAGAGAGCCTGCATAGCCAAAACAATCCCAAGCAAAGAGAACAAAGCCGGAGGATTCACATCACCTGATTTCAAACTATACTACAAGGCTACAGTAATCAAAACAGCATGGTACTGGTACCAAAACAGAGATATAGACCAATGGAACAGAACACAGGCCTCAGAAGCAACACCACACATCTACAACCATCAGATCTTTGACAAACCTGACAAAAACAAGCAATGGGGAAAGGATTCCCTGTTTAATAAATGGTGTTGGGAAAACTGGCTAGCAGTGTGCAGAAAGCAGAAACTAGAACCATTCCTGACACCTTACACTAAAATTAACTCCAGATAGATTAAAGATTTGAACATAAGACCTAACACCATAAAACCCTAGAAGAAAACCTAGGCAAAGCCATTCAGGACATAGGCATAGGCAGGGACTTCATGACTAAAATACCAAAAGCATTGGCAACAAAAGCCAAAATAGACAAATGGGACCTACTTAAACTCCAGAGCTTCTGTACAGCAAAAAAAAAAAAAAACAATCACTAGAGTGAACCAGCAACTAACAGAATGGGCAAAAATTTTTGCAATCTACCCATCTGACAAATGGCTAATATCCAGAATCTATAAAGAACTAAAACAGATTTACAAGAAAAACACAAACAAACCCATCCAAAAGTGGGCAAAGGATATGAACAGACACTTTTCAAAAGAAGACATATATGAGGCCAACAAACATAAATGCTCATCATCACTGATTATTAGAGAAATGCAAATCAAAACCACATTGAGATACCACCTCACACCAGTTAGAATGGTGATCATTAAAAAATCTGGAGACAACAGATGCTGGAGAGGATGTGGAGAAATAGGAACACTCTTACACTGTTGGTCGGAGTGTAAATTAGTTCCACAATTGTGGAAGACAGTGTGGCGATTCCTCAAGGACATAGAAATTCCATTTGACCCAGCAGTCCCATTACTGGTTATATAACCAAAGGATTATAAATCATTCTATTATAAAGACACATGCACATGTATGTTCATGGCAACACTGTTTACAATAGCAAAGACCTGGAATCAACCTAAATGCCCATCGACAATAGACTGGACAGAGAAAATGTGGCACATATACACCATGGAATACTATGTAGCCATAAAAAATGATGAGTTTGTGTCCTTTTTAGGGACATGGATGAATCTGGAAACCATTATTCTCAGCAAACTGACACAAAAACAGAAAAGCAAACACCACAGGATCTCACTCATAGGTGAGTGATGAACAATGAGAACACATGGACACAGGGAAGGGAGTATCACACACTGGGGTCTGTTCAGGAAGTCAGGGTGAAAGTGGGGAGGTCATGGAGGGATAACATGGGGAGAAATGCCAGATGTAGGTGATGGGGTGATGGAGGCAGCAAACCACATTGCCATGAGTATACCTATGCAACAATCCTGCATGATCTGCACATGTACCCCAGAACCTAAAGTACAATAAACAAACAAACAAAAAGAAAGAAAGTGAATCAAACAAGATTTTTAATCATGCACAATAAAATAGCTGTAAAATAGGTCAGTTAATATTGAGCATGTTTTCTATTCTAAAACATATATGAAAGAATTAAAATAGCTTCAATTATAGCCTGATATTAAAAGCAGATATTTCATAAAATATATTGCCCAACTGCTATGCTTTGAAGCCTTCAAAGTTAAGAAAAAACTCTTCTTAAATTGTTTGCTCACTGTACCTCCTTTTTGTGATTGGATTAATTGCTTTCCCTTTCATTCTCAATATGCAGTCAAATTATGACATTCTCTACTAGTTTTCAAACTCTCAGAAAAAGATGGAACAGGTTTTTGGGGCTTGAGTTAAAGCATCTACCCTATCCTTCCACAGTCTTTGACTGATATGTTTAAACAGAGGAATTTAATAAATGATGAGAGAGGAAGGACTATGCTATGGGCTAGAATCAAAAGATGTGGGTTTAAATCTTGACTTTGACTAGTATCAGCTGTGAGAACTTGACAAAACTCTATATCTATCTAATCTTCAATTTCCTTATCCATAAAATAGGAGATAATGGCTGTTCTCCAGAGTTACTGTCATGGTTAAATGTGTAAAGAACAGTGTGTAGTACCAAAAACCGTTGGCACTTTTGAGATTATGTTCATTCTATCACCTGGAAATTTTTTATAAGTAATTTTAGTCAAGTGCTTTGAAGGAACTGGCGTGTCAGTTACTAACAATTCAGTGAATAGCCACTCTTTGTGCTGCCCTCAAGGTGGCTTTATACAGTTTCTAGTAAAACAGAGTACTACAAACCCAATAAAATTTGTTTAATAGCACCTAACCCAACATATATAAATATGTTTAAAATATATTAAGTCATTATTTTAAATAATTTGATATACTTTAAGAGACATTAAAAACATTTAGTGACTGCAGAAACCTCCAATTTTTGAACATGATGCAGGATTTTAAGCATAATGTAAGATAATAAAGTTTATCTTTTTTTTTTTGAAAGAAAGAAAGAGAAAGAGGAAGGTGGAGAGAGAACAGGAGTCTTGCTCTATTGCCCAGGCTGGAATACAATCTAAAAATGGTATTAAAAACCTCTTTTATGCCAATAATTGTGCTTAACAGCGGAGATAGGAAGGAATAAGGGAAGAAAATAACAAACAGCCAACCAATATTTCATTTAAGTCTGTGAAATGCTATGCAAATACTGAAGAGTGATTTACTTCCAATTATGTGGTCACTTTCAAAATAGGTGTAATGTGATACTGAGAAAAATGTATGTTCTGCGGACCTGGGATGAAGAATTCTATAAATATTCACTGAGTTTACTTGTTCCAGGTCTGAGTTCAAATCATAGATGTCCCTGTAATATTCTATCTCATTGATCCATTGAATATTAACAATGTGGTGTCAAAGTCTCCCGCTATTATTGTGCGGGAGTCCAAGTCTCTTTATAAGTCATTAAGAACTTGTCTTATGTATCTGGGTGTTCCTATATTGGGTGCATATATATTTATGATCATTGACTCCTGTTGTTGCATTGATCATTTTACCATTATGTAATGTCCTTCTTTGTTTCTTTTAGCCTTTGTTACTATTAAGGTCTATTTTGTCAGAGATGAAAGTTACAACTCCTGTTTTGTTTTTCGTTTTTGTTTTTGTTTTGCTCTCCATTTGATTGGTAAGTCTCCCACCAACCCTTTGTTTTGAGTCTTTGTGTGTCCTTGCTTATGAGATGGATCTGGATACAGCATACTGATGGGTTTTGACTTTTTATTCAATTTTCCCATCTGTGTCTTTGATTGGGGCATTTATTCCATTTAAATTTAGGATTAATATTGATATTTGTGAGTTTAATATTGTTGTTTAATGCTAGCTGGCTATTTTGCCCATTAGTTGATATAGATTCTTCATTATGGAGATACTCTTTACCTTTTGGTAAGTTTTTGGGATGACTGATACTGGTTGTCCCTTTCTTGTTCTTTCAGAAGCTCTTATAAAGCAGACCTTGTGGTGATGAAATCTCTGAGAGCTTGCTTGTTCGTGAAAAATTTTATTTTTCCTTCATTTATGAAGCTTAGTTTGGCTGGATATGAGATTCTAGGTTGAAAATTCTTTTCTTTGAGGATATTGAATACTGACCCCCACTCTCTACTAGTTTGTAGGGTTTCAGCTGAGAGATCTGCTGTGAGTCTGATAGGCTTCCCTTTATGGGTAACCTGACCTTTCTCTCTAGCCACCCTTAGAATTTTCTCCTTTATTTCAACCCTGGTGAATCTAATGACTATGTGTCTTGGGGTTGCTCTACTTGAGGAATATTTTAGTGGTGTTCTCTGTATTACCTGGAGTTGAGTATTGTCCTGCATTACTAGGTTAGGAAAGTTTTCCTGAATAATATCCTAAAGGATATTTTCCAGCTTGGATTCATTCTTTTCATGACATTCAGGTACACCTATCAAAGGTAAATTAGGTCTCTTCACATAGTCCCATATTTCTTGGAGACTTTGCTCATTCCTTTTTACTCTTTCTTCTCTAATCTTGTCTTCTCGTTTCATTTCATTAAGTTGGTCTTCAACCTCTGATATCTTTTATTCTTCTTGATGAATTTGACTATTAAAACCTGGGCATACTTCCCGGAGTTCTCGTATTGTATTCTTCAGTTCCATTAATTCACTTATATTCCTCTCTAAATTGTCTGTTTTCATTAGGATTTCATCAAACCTTTTTTCAAGGTTCTTAGTTTCTTTACATTGGGCTAGAACATATTCTTTTAACTCACAGAAGTTTCTTATTATCCACCTTCTGAAGCCTAATCTGTTAATGGAATGCACTCGTTCTCCATCAGGCCATGTTTCCTTGTTGACGAGGAACTGTGATCCCCTGTAGAGGGAGAGACATTCTGATTTTGGGTATTCTCAGCCTTTTTATGTTGGTTTCTTCCCATCACTGTAAATTTATCCACCTGTCATCTTTGTAATTACCGACTTTCAAATTGGGTCTTCTGAGTGGACAACCAACTGATTGATTCCCAGTGCCAGAATCTGAGCAACCCACTGCACTGGCTAAAACAGCAGCATTAAGATTCATGGTGCTTTTCTGCCTGGGAATCTCCGGTCTGGCTTCCTTCTTGAGTCTCTTTTTCAATCAGCTGAATGGGTGACTCTGCCTTCCTGGAGCTCCAAACATCAACTAACCACCACACCGGCCACAGAGTCACACTG